CCAAACATTACCCTCACAGCCTTCACCCGGACTATTATCCCGCCCCACACTAGGATCCACGGCCCCCCCCACCCCCACCCACACCATACCCATGGTCACACCAAAAACATTGATCTCCGAAACATCATTCACAAAATGTTGGATCAAACATACAACTTAAGCACCCCTTATCATAAATCTCACACAGTTCATCATGTGCTAAAATTCCATCCCCACAAAATGAAATACAAGAAACATTCTCACCTAAATCATAACCATCTTAACAATCTATACAATTATTTCATTACAAGATGTACAATAATATCACCTTAACAATAATTTAAGTTAATATTGACAAAAACTTAAAAGTGCTACTCTTAAGTTACACTTCTACGAAGCTATTTCAAAGTAAGCGTAATCTTCTCATTAAATGCAACTATTCCCAATTTATTCACGACAGTTTCCTATTATCATCAAATTATATGATAGAGATTTAACAAAATACTATTAGTTTGAGGATAATTCATATCTATCATTGCATAGTTAACATATACCAAATTAACATAACAAGCAATTCAAATCACAAGTAAATTTACAAGTTTTACAATTTTGATAAATCTGTAATGAAGAGTTAAATTCACATTATTCATTACATTTCTAAAAACCATCTCCAAATGTAGGATAACATTTAGATTATAATTTTAATATCCTTCTTAGCAATCATAACAGATTCCTTAAAGACAATTAAGACATGAGTCCTAACAACTAAATAGACAAAAATGGCATCCGTCTCCAACAATCAAATTGTCATCATCACATTATTAATCTTCAGCCACGATTTTATCACCACAGATTGAATAGCATAAATAATCTATTTTTTTTTGTAACCAGTTTTACATGATAGACAACCGCGTCCAGTAGTATCACAATTTAAGCAAGATGTTTAACATTTTGCTAAGCAATTTTAACAATCTTTATAGTGCAATATAAGCGATTTCTCACATTATTCGCCAACTACATAAATAGAATCTCCACAAATTGGTGTACATATTTTTTTACCTGAAAGGTAATACCCAGAAGCGCATACTGAACATCTATTACTTTGACAACTTGTGCAAATACTTGCTGGTTAACACTAATATTAACAAGTGCTACTGCAACCATCATTATCATTTGTATTACCATCACATTCCTCCGAGAAGAATCCATAAGGATCTATAACGACTAATCCATCTCCACATATATTTTGACAATAGTAATAGTTAGGAACAAATCCAGGGAATTAACAGCTTAAGCAGTTGTTGGTTGTATAATTACAAGAGGAACAACCAATTCTACAGAAATACTTACAATTTTTGCACCCATCCGTATCCTTGGGTTATACACTCAAAACATTGTCCTTTTATACACTTTGTACATGGAGGGTAACATTAATATTTAAGATTAAAACATCCATCATAATAAATATTGTTTTCATCTTTGCATTCCTCTAGTCCTGTAATCATTCCATCCCCGCAAATATCAGGACAAGGTATATTAGGATTGATTACAACTTAAACAATTAACAGGACATTGAAATTAACAATTATAGCATAAGTCATGAAGGAGTGTATTATTATCTTCACATTATTCATATTCTTTGATTAAGAAATCTCCACAAATTGGTTGACATCCTCCAGGCACTAATTCTAATCCAGCATCACAATAACTGCATGTAATAGTATGCCAAATAAATTAATTATTATGACACAACTTATAACATTGGGTGAGAGCGGAATCTTCTGTAATTGGACAATCTATAATATGATTATCAAATATACTTGTACAAACATTACTTAATTCATACTAACCAGGTGCACAAACACATTCTAACCCTTTTAATATTCGATTTAAAGTAATATCACATGTTAAACAGCCATCAATTGTGGTTCTAAAGCATGTTAAGCATGATGAATGACAAGAAGAACAGCCCGAATACAAGAGCTGCATTCTGCAATCCCCGAGTATTTCAATTAAGAACAAAAGCAGAACTGTTGTTCAGGTAGTACAAAAAGTTCGTATATTAAACCTCCAATTTTAAATACAAGTTTAACATTATATTTAAAATAAAAATGCCAATTTGAAATGCAATAGTGCTTCTTTTTATATTGATTCAGTTAATAGTTCACTTGCCGTTCTAGTGATGGTGCCTGAACTACATATTCACAACGACAATCCTTACATCAAGTAACTATAAGCAACTCATGTGCCTAGAATGTTTTATTTTATGAATTCTAAAATAATTAATAATGTCAGAGCATTGTCCAAAAGCAAAAGATATATACTAAAAAGTTTAAATAGCCTTAAAAAATTTTCAGACTTAAATAGGAGATTATGCTTATGTACTATTTAGCATCAGTCTCATTTGTAGAAACTCATCAACTTAATTCTAATAGCCATCATAATTTGTATCACATTCATAGTAGTTCCAATGGATAACTATCAGATGAATCAAGTTGAGAAAAGTAACTAAAATCTTTATACTTTAAAAATGCAATATGCATTTAATTAAGCAGTTACCATCATATTAAGATCTTCATATTAATATGTATTTGGACAACTTGTCCAAACTAGACCAAAATTGGACTGTTACACATAAATAGAACATTTGTTAGAAGCAGCTAAATAGTATTTCCAGAACAATTTTGAAGGTAACAGGATGCGAACATTATAAAACTTCAGGTGTTTTTACACACAATACTAATCTCTAGTTAATCGAAAAAAAGAGATTACATTATGATTAAATTACATTTATTTAATTCACAAGCTTTTAATGATCATTTTTGATTGGATTTCGCTCGCTATTGATTTGAATTAAATCACGAATTGAATTTTACAATTCTCCAAAGAAGTTCTTATTTTTTCTAATGTTAAGTATAGACGGATAAGAGGCTTATGCATCTCTGTAATACAATAACCATAATGTAACAAATCTGTATTAATGTTCTTTTTATGTTTGTTGTAAACAATGCTGCAGAGTTTGATGGAATGTTCAGATTGTTTATTTGTTAAAGAGTTACCTCATAAATATCTCTTTATGCTCTAGTATTGATTATCTTTGACTGCTTTAAATTTGCTTTTAAAATCCAACAAATATAATAAGGGAAAAGGAGGACATTTATCATAACTAGTATGAATACATCATTTACGGGCTATAGAGGTTGATTTACAAATCTATAACCATAGAAATGCTTGAGTTTTCAGTACTAGTTACAAGAAGATATTAATCTATAGGTTGCACATTAATTAGCTAGATAAGATCCAGTAAAGCTAAATAACATGCAGCATCAGAAGTATCATCTTCTAAAATTTCGAGTAGAACTTGCAAAGTTAAGTTTAAATACTCCAAATATTCCTTAAAGTTTTCCTTAAATCAGAATGGGTTTTAGTAATTCCTGAACCTGCAAGATAAAGTTACCCTTTACACTTTTTAGCCAATAAGTAATGTTTTTCTCAGTTTTCGCCTTTTGCAGTTTATATTTCAACCATGATATTACTTAAAAAATAAAATTAATTCATATTGACCAAACTAAATCTTACCTGTAGATTTTTTATTTTGAATTATTTTTCGATCTGATGATAAGATGTTTATCAAATGCAGACCAGTTCAGATATTTGTATTATTTATAACTCTTTCAGGGTTTTCGTTGTCATTTCTGAACATGCGAATAATTTTGGAAATTGCCTAGACATTAACAACTGAAATCATTTACATGCTTTGCAAACTGTATGTAGATCAAGTGGTTCAACTATTAACACATTATAGACATCTTTTTTATTGATTCCAAAATTTAATGCATCATCGCGACTCATAAGTGCCCCCCTCTTAATTGCTCTGGATAT